GAAGAGAGAGGGACTATGAGGTGATTTTAAGAGATGGTCGTGCGCGGCTCACTTTCTGCTACTCGTCCTTTCAATTCGAACCATCAGTCCTCCCATTCTGCTCTCCCCTTCCCTTCACCCTCACCCTCCGAAATCTTTACAACAAGGAAGGCTGCCTGCAATGCTCCCCTACCACTCACTCTTCTCCACTTCCCTCGTCAACCCTTCCCTTCCGCTTTCCCCTTTTCGTCCTAGTTTCGTGCAGCAAGGGAAGCTGCAGATGCGATTGGAGCACAGATGGTACTGGGAGATCGACCTATTGAGATCACTGTGAGTGGACTTTTCTATTCAGTCTGGTCATCCCAATCTTCGCACATTATTTGTTCTTCACGATTTCGTCATAACCGATTGGTTAGGGGAGGGGGTCACATCTTAGGACACTGCTAAAGAAAAAGAAAAGAAAACAAAACAACAACAAAAACAACAACAACAACAACAACTCTAGAATGACGTAAGAATCAATTTGATAGTTGGTTCGTCAGCATGCTCTTCTCTTTTCTCACCTCCTCCCCTCCCACCAGCTGCGCCGTGCATGGAAGGCTCTCTCTCTTCCTGACCGCGCTCGCCTTGCCTCAGCCCTCCTGCAAGGCGGGCTGAAAGGAGGGGGCGCTTTGGAGCAGGGCAGGCTGAAAGGGGAGTTGTTGAAGCGGCGTGGTGATTCTAACAGTGAAGGGATGGTGACTCCGAATGTGGATGGAGGTGTGGTGGGAAGAGCGGGAGGAGGAGAGGTGAAGGGAGAAAGGGAGGGGGGAGGGGGTGAGGGAGGAGGAAAGGGGTTGGAGAAAGGAGGAGGGGAAGAGCGAGAGGAAGAGGTGGAGTTTTTATCGGCTGTTTTTCAGGAAGTTGCACGGCAGTTTCCCACGCTCATAGGCCCACTGGTGCATGAGAGGGATGCGGTGAGTGGGCCTTTCGGAATTTTCTCTTTTTTTGTCATAATTTTCCCTTGTCCATAATTGCGTGACAGAACCGCCTGCCTTCCAAAATCTGCGTCGAGTTTTATGAGATTTCTGAACTTGGTCATTGTTCTGCAGTTTTTCAGCCTTGCTGCCCGGCCCTCAGGCATTCCTACTCTTGCATGTGTCAATTTTGGGACCCAACATCACATATTCCTCCCGCCCTCTCTCCCTACTCTCCCATCCTCCCTTCGGTTACTTGTCCCCTCTGCAGTATCTAGCATGGGCCTTAAAACGGAGCAAGGCCGTGAGAGGATGTGACAGGGTGGTCGGCGTGGTGGGGCGAGGGCACTTGCCTGGCGTCGTGCACTTCTTGTTGCAAGATAATGAGCAAAGAACACTGCGATTTAAGCAGCTTGTCGGGGCCAGTGCATCGGATGAAAAGGATTCAGGAAAAGGAGGAATGGCTGCGCGTGTGGCTAAAAGGGTGGGACTAGAAGTGGCTGTTGGGCTTGGGCTTTGGTGGGCATTCACATTGATTTCATGAATAAATTCTGAAGAAGACTTGCAGATTGTTGAGTAGGTTGTGTAGCCCATTCTTTTGCCATTATCCGTACATGTATTTTCTGTGCAGTATTTCTCGGTAATGCGCCAGCCCATATCGGCTCATTGGTCATGAAGCAACCAAATCCGCTTCAAATCCTCCCGATCTTGCCTTTTGATCCGAACCGTTCCCGCGACCCTTGGGATCATCTCGTTCCCTCGGGTTCACCCTTTTCGCGCCAAAAAAATCGCCAAAAGAATCGGCCGTAGAGTCTGACACCACACTTATGGTCTTTGAGTCCTCCTGACTGAACCGAGTCAGCTTTTGTGTCAGAAAGCTAGCATCCATGGCGGCTCGGCTATCAGTGACGGCTCTTAATAGTGGTTTAATCTGCTTATCAGGACCCACCGTCTCCTCGCGCATTACCGGGAATCGCGGGCCTTTCCACCTGTCCTCCTCACCAATCCCGGTGTCTCGGTCGCAAAAACGGCAGTTCCGTACGTCTCGTTTAGTTGTTTCGGCAACAGCCCGTCGCAAAGAATGTCCCAGCGAGGAAGCATGTATCGAGGATCCGTACGACAAGAGCTGTCAAAATGCGAATGATTGCCAGGTGGCCGGAAATGAATGGACGCGACGGGAGATGATGGCTGCTACCGGCAGCAGCTTAGCAGCCGTAGCGCTCGCTATTGTCACTTCAGGCGCTGTGACTGTTCCAATAGCCAACGCAGGTATTGTCACAGTGAAGCTGGTAGTGGTAGTGTTGCACGATGGCGGCTGCAGCCCTCGGTATTGTCACACACACAAAATAGAATGTTCTTGGCACTAGTCACATGTGTGTGGGGATTTTGAGGGAGGGAGAGGGAAAAGGCGGGTGGAAATAGAAGAATACATATTCCCGTTTATTAGGCACGTATTGTCGTTTTTTCCTCTCCACCTCTTGCTCGTACCCATTGTCCCTCCCAGGCCCAGCAACAGCGCCGGCACCAACAGCTGCCGGTGCTGCAGTGGACACTGCTTCCTGGAAGCTTCTCGAGAGTGCGTTTGGGTTCTCCTTCCTCTACCCGTCCTCCTATATAGTCACAATCGTAAGTACCTGAATGCAGAATGCTATACCAAATCTCTTGTTGATATCTCTATTGTAACGTTACTGCTGTAACATCACAATCATAAGCCCTGGCGAATGGCAGTCAGGCCTCTGCTTGTCCCCGTCATACACTTCCTCCTTACCCCAACCCTTTCCCCTCTTCCATCGCCCTCCTCCTCCACCTCCCTGGTACATGCCATGCTGCCACCTCACTCAGAACCACAAGAACGACCCAGCAGACGCCCCACTCACAGCAGACGGCGCTCAGGCCCTCGCTATTGTCCCCTGCATTTCCTCCAACCCCACTCCTCCTCCTTTGTCCCCTCCCCCTTCCCTCCCTGCCTATGTGCTCCACTTAAACAACAGAACCGCAAGAACGTCCCAGCTGATGAGGCCCTAGCATTGGTCCCCTGCATTTCCTCCAACCCCACTCCTCCTCCCTTCCCGTCTCCCCCTTCCCTCCCTGCCTATGTGCTCTACGTTACCACCAGAACCGCAAGAACGACCCAGCGGATGCCCCGCTCACAGCAGATGGCGCTCAGGCCCTAGCAGTCGTGGGCAACTTTGTCACATTCGACACGGTATGCTTGTAATCCAAGTACACATGCTGCATTGTCAGCCCTTATGTTGTGCACTGCACCTGCTGTACAGCCCTCACCGGAGCACAGCAGACGGCGCACAGCACAGGCCCTAGCAGTGGTGGGCAACTTTGTCACCTTCAAGAGAGTAAGTTCGTGTTGACATCTGCATGCGTACAAATGTTGCAGTGTCTGCCTTAGGCGCTGTGCATTCGGCATACAGCAGCACAGCAGACAGCGCTCAGGCTTTATCAGTCGTGGGAGATTTCGTCAACTTCGACATGGTGGGTTTGTTGAGCCCTTATAACATGGGTTAATAACACTGATGACTGTTTTGAGCCCTTATAACATGGGTTAATAACACTGATGACTATTTTGAGCCCTTACAACATGGCTGTGGGTTTGTATCTAGATGCACATATGGCTTCTTGAGCCCCTATATCATGCATCTGCTGCACACCCTAACAGCAGCACATGCCACGGCACTCAGTCATTTTAGTCGTCGGCACTTCTGTCACTTTCGACATGGTGGGTGGGTTCCCCTTTGTGTTGCGCGTGCATGATTACCCCCTTTGTGTTGCGCGTGCATGATTACCCCCAAGTCAACCCCACAGAGGAAACTCGAAGGAAGCTCGAGACCTCTGTTCCTCTGTTCCACTGTTCCCCTCGTTTTGTTTCTCTCTCTTCCCCCCCCCGCACGATACCAGATGAGTGTCATTCGCTACGTCTTCTCTTCACTGAAGGTGATGATTCAACTCAACGCCAGTTCCTCTCTCATCCTCTCTCTTTGTCTCCCCCCTCTGTTCCCTCCCTTCTTCCCTCTCTCCTGCCCCCTCTCCCACACATCAGATGAGTGTCATTCGCTATGCCTTCACTCCAAATCCAGACAAGCTTGCTCCCCTCATCCAACGTATCCTGCCCAATGGGGTGAGTCTTGATACTCGACAATTGGTAATTTATATGATTTCCTCCAGAAGCTCTCACATCCCAACAATGTCATTCCCCTAATCCAACGTATCCTGCCCAACGTAGTGAGTCTTGATACTTCTTCCGTGCCTTATTCTCTTCTCTCGCCGGCTTTTTTTTTCTCTCTCTCTCTCCTTTTTCGCTATCACAATCCCATTTCGTACACTTACTATGTCCGCACTCCTCGCTCCCATTCGTTTTCTTTCTTCCTTTATTTCTCTCTGTCTTTCCCCACTCCCTCTCTTCCTTCCTTCCTCTCCTCCCACGGCCGTCCAGAATCTAAGCACCTCATTGGTCGAGGACACGGTGTTTCCAAACCAGCCAATCATAGAGCTTCCTCTGGATCTCCAAAAGATTCTCTCCGCCCTGGCATCACCGGCAGGACTCAGTTTTGAGTGAGTACGGATCCTCTCAGCTTTTTTTATCTCTTTGTATGATCAGACCCTCTTTTTTCTAATCGACTCAAAAATCAACTTCAAAAGGTCCTCTCTGCCCTCGCATCACCTGGGGGACTCAGTTTCGAGCGAGCATGAATCCTGGAGGTATGAACACCCGTATGAACAGGTATGTTCTCATACTCGTTCATACGGCGGGACTCCCAACGGACCCTATGGATTAAAAAGACCTAGCAACTTGAAAGATCCTCTCCACCCTCGCATTACCTGGGGGACTCAGTTTTGAGTGAGCACGAATCCTGGAGGTATGAACACCCGTATGAACAGGTATGTTCTCATACTCCCGGTGGACCATACGGATTAAAAAAAACCTTGCAGCAGATCAACTGTCGCCAGTGCGGAGAGAAAGTTGCAACTTGAAAGATCCTGTCCGCGCTGGCGAAAGTTAATTTGCTGCCTTTAACTTTTGTCCTCTCCCTGTGCCATGTGGTAACGGAGACATGCTGAGGCAGGATAGAGGAGGTACAGGGGGGATGCATATATATTGAAGGAAATTGGTTTGCCGCTTTAATTTTTATCTTCTCCCTCTCACCCATCACTGCAGTGTGATAACAGAGACGTGCCGAGGCAGGATAGAGGAGGGGAAGGGGGGAGTGGGTGAGTGTGTGTCGGTTCGAGGGGCAGACCTCGTTCAACCAATCGTGCGCCGCCACATAGGCCGGATACTCCTGTCAGAAGGTATGATATTCATTCATTTACATTTATTAGCTTCTTCGCTACCCTTATTGTTAAGCCCCTCCGTTGACTGTCGCCACATACACTGAATGCTCCTCTCAAACGGTATGATATATAGACTAAGCGTTCTCACCTCCCTTACTGTCAAGCACGTGCGGGCTGTATGTTGAAGAGCATAAACACGTATGCCTAGTAATTACCAGCGTCAATACACTGCACTTTCCTTCCATCCTTTTCTTTGTTAAATAAATGATAATTTCTCTAGCCCGGTGCCCCTGACTCACCCAACTACCCCTCTCGCACCTTCACCAGCCAGCTTTTGAGGTGCCTCAATTTTTTTAGACGACTTTTGAGGCGCCTCAAAAGTTGTTAAGTAAATGATCATTTCTCTAGCCCGGTGTCCCTGACTCACCACCACCAGCCCAACTACCCCTCTCGCATCTCCACCAGCCAGCTAAATAGCTGGGATCCCTGTAACTCTTGCACTCTCCCCACCCTCTTCAACTCCCTCCCCATCCCTCCCCTCCAGGCTACCTCTACGTCATAACAGCATCATGCGCCGAGGCATGGTGGTGTGTGCATGTGAGCATGTGTGTTCCTAGAATGCTTACTCTCTCGCCACCCTCTTTCACTCCTCCCCACTCCTCCATCCCCCCCATTCTCCCACTCCAGGCTCCCTCTATGTCATCACAGCATCATGCACCGAGGCACGGTGGTCAATCATGAGCTCACAGCTGCAATGCATTCTCCTCTTTCTCCTGCACCCCACCACCCACTCCTACACATTTTCGCCTCTCCTCCCCCCCAGGCTACCTCTATGTCATCACAGCATCATGCACAGAGGCACGGTGGCCAATAATGAGCGCACAGCTGCTAGCAACCCTCCAGTCATTTGCCTTCCTCTGATCAATACACCGCGGTATTATGTTTTTGTATTTATTGGTTAGGTAGGGGTTCATGCAGTGGTAATGGCTCACTGCATGACAAAGGCGTGTAGCTGCAACAACTCACATGGATGGATGAAATAATATGGCTGCAGCCTGGCGGGCTGAAACATACTGGTAATTTCCAAGTTAAATTGTACGACTGAAAATTGCTACCGGGAAAGAGTGTTAAGAAACAATATTTCTTAGGCCCTTACTGGCAGGTTAGAAGAAATTTTACCTTATTTTTTTTCAAAAGAACAAAACAAGGCTTCAGTGCATTCAAAACTTAATGCATGACTTATAATCATGCATGGTACAATGAACACTATTGAGACTTTATTTGAAGCCATTCAGGCGGCCTTGCAACAACAATTTTCTGAGTTCGTGCTGGTACGCAAACGCGCCACTAGCTTGCTCAAACAAATCGACGATTAGGGTTACAAGCTGGACAGCCCGGCGAGGGATCGCAGTTGTTCGTAGACAATGAAGGTAATGGCGGTCATGGGACCCAGGCGCGCGTAATTCGCGGCGCAACCTTTGTAGAGTCCGCGGATACCCTCTGTGCGGAGAATCTGCGGGTGACGCGGGAAAGAGGGGGGGAAGAGAGGAAGGTATGGAGAGAGGGATGGGTGAGTAATGGCGGAATGCACATTAATGGCGTGAGATTTTTATGGCGCCCGAGTCTTTGGGTAAGTGGAGTAAGTGCAATCAGATAACCATCTGACGTGCCATCCTCTCACGGAGTAAGCGTGTTACTGTGAACAAACTCACCGAGTAAGCGCAGTGCATGGATCCGCGGTAAACGATAGCTCCCCCGGCTGCTGGCGGAGCTGCGCCGGCCACGGGCGCAGCAGCGGGCGCAGGGCCCAGCGGGGGCAGTCCGCGCGCAGCAGGCAGCGGCGGCGGGCGCGCGGAAGGCGTGGGAGAGGCGGAAGCTGTGGAGTACGCGAGCGCGGGTTGGAGCTGGGCTGAAGAACTGTGCGGAGCGGGGTTCTGGAGGTTTACGGGGGAAAACGCGGACGAGGCTCCGCTTATAGTGGCATTTGACTGCGGGGGAATCGACGGGGAGGCAGACGGCGGGGGAAGCGGGGCTCTAGGGGCCGCGGAGGCGGCGGAAGCGGCGGAAGCAGCAGCGGAGGTTTTCTTGGCCGCCATCATGCGCGTCTTGACTGTATCGAAGGGGGACGACGCGAGCGTCGAGACGGCACCCGCGAGCATAGACGCGCTGAGGTGAAGCGGCAAGCCGTCCGAGACGTTAGCGCGCGCTTTCAGCATCTGCTTGCACTCGTCGTACACCGCGCATTGCGCCGCAGTGAGCGCTGCCGCGCGCCCCATGGACGGACCCACGCCCTTCCACAGCGCGCCAACTCCCTCCGTCCGCGCAATTTCCAGAATCTGCCCCGTCGTCGACCGGCTGCTCCGCGCACCCGCGCTTTTCACGGCGGCACTCGCGGCGCTTTTCCCGGTGCCGGCCGTTTCCGAAATCATCTGTAGCCGGACTTTCGCGACATCCAGAGGGTTTGACACGGCTGTAGCGAACGATCCGGACATGATACCCGCGAGGGCTTTATGTCCCATATGCACCTGCGACTTGTCCTTAGGCGCGATCATGTTGCGACACGGCTCGTACAGGCCGAGGCGCAGGCAGCCGTAGGACAAGGCGCGCACAACGGCGGGTTCGACGCCGCGGTATAAGGCGCGCACGCCGCCTTCTTGAAGGAGCTTGCGCGTGGTGGCGACCATTGTGGAGGAGGGGCCGCGCTGGCCCACTGCTTGCATCTGCTGCTGCACTTTAACCACGTCTGATGGGGGAGAGGGGAGGAAGGGGCATGGATGGTCATAGGGCTGAAAAATTAGCGCAATTGTGAATAAGGGGAAACGGCAAAAGAGAAATCGTTCCCGAGTAGAGAATTCACCACTCTTGTTTAGTTTGTTTGGTTTGTTTGTTTGTTTAAGCGAGTTATTGTGGAACGCGTGTGGCGACAAGTTAATAAGACCTCGTAAGCAGCACGTACCGACGGGATGTGTGGTGGCTGTGGAGATCGCGACGGCCGTGCCGCTGGTGGCGAAGGTTCCGAGCATCTCCTTGGTCTTCTTCCACGCCGGCGACGACTCTTGCGACGGCGACGATGTCGACGATGCGACGGCCATGGCGACGAATCTCTATGCAGGAGATTCGAGAATTTCGATGCGAGAGAGAGTTGAGAAGCGAGGCCGCGGAATGAGGGGATGACTCGAAGTGGGAATGTCTGTTTGGTGAATGGCGGAGCTGCGAGGTGCTGATGGCTCAAGCACTAAAATATGAAGACGCTTGTGCGATGTTGCTGAGTAAATTACCCGTTAGATACCGCCGCCTTTTACGAACGTAGACGGAATTTGCGGCAAGAGCACTCTACGTCGACCCCGGAAATAGATGCACGCACATAAGCCCTGCCTGGGTCTGCCTTGTGTGGTGGTAACAAACGCTTCGGTTGGACTCGAAAAAACAGGCGAACAGTTGCAACCGAAGTTGGACCAAAGAGAAGGCTTGTGGCAAATGGATGAGGAGAATAATGACGGTGCTGCTCTCCGCTAAATGCGTTGTCACGGGACACACTAGAATGACAGCCTTAGCCGTAACCGCTGGTCCAACCCCCTAAGCCTAGAAGTCAAGGCAGAACGGGAGTGTGTCTTCAGTGACAGTCTGCGGACGATACGTTGAACCTTGCTGCTTCAAGCAGAAACGGGAGTAGCCGTTCTTTACGTGGGATGGCGCGACCCTGAAATACTCCAGCCGTCTAGAATCAATGTTTCTGGGGGGAAGCAAGGGAAAACTGATCCCAAAAGGATATGCTTCTGCAGCTTGGGAATCCCTAGGGTTTTTTCGCTAAGGACCGAACTGTACTAGTAAATACCGCAGTGGTATTACCGTAACCGTACTGAAACAGCTATTACCGATTTTTTGCATCTTTTGAGATTCTTGCGAGAAGTGTGGATGGGTGGTGAGGAAGGGGGAGGACAGTGTGGATGACCTTTGCGGATAGGGAGGATGAATCGAAGTGTCGCCGCCGTGCGGGAAAATCCACCGCGCGCTCTGCGCTCCGCGCCCTGCGGTTTCGGAAGGAACGAGTGTGGACTGGATGCGCTCGCGACAGCAGGAACCAGGGTGCTCGCGCAGGTTCGCGAAGTGGTTACCTGTTGTCGTTCTGGGACAAATGCACAGCGAGGTTCGAGGAAGAGATCGTGATTGACGAGACCGCTGAACTTGCGGAGAGTACCTTCCTTCCCTAGAGCCACCTGGACCGCACGATGAAGAACAAACCTCACCTAAACCGTTCCTCGTTGGCAGCCGTCCACCTATTCAGAGCTTCTGGGGCTGTCGGCCAGCAAATCAGGCAGGAGATCAGGGTGACTCATGGCCGATGGACACGTGGGAATTGAGTTGCAGAATGGTGAGTCAGCAAAGCTGTTGAACGGCGACGAATTGCCTTCAGGCCGAACCGTCAGCCACACGAGCACAGGAATGGATGGATGAAAGCGATGTGCAACACGTGCACCACGGATGCTCTTTGCGGTTCGTCCCAATGAGCTGAATCTCTCAAACTATAACCATGTACACCAACGCGTCACAGTAACAAACTACCTTATAATGTGAAGCTGCACGCACTTCCATATCATAAGAAATTCACAAATGATGGAAGCGCGTTGCGCATCTGGGCCAAACAGGTCAGTGCACGCTCCAACACCCTTTCTGCCGACAGAAGCTTCGTTCCTTGCAGCTGAAAACACATGCATTCCACAGCAAAAACAAAACAATTGAATACATGTTATACATTTGTTTCAATGAAGGGAATCATATCTTATCAAGCACGCAAGTGGAACAGGAGGAAAAATTTCCAGTCTCACCTCTATTCTTCCGGATCGGAAGGAGAGGTTTTCACGCATAACCTTCTGCTGCACAGCATCCCTCAGGATCTCAAAGGCTGGAAGCTTCATGGCAGTTTCCATGACAATGGTTGTGCCCTGCTCCCGCTGTAGAATGCGGTAGACACCCAAATCTGCCGCCATGCGCCTCACAAACAGATGCTTGAAAAGTAACTGAGGGGGTGGGGGAGGAAATGGGAAGGATACAGGAAGTGGGAGTCAAAATGCGGTAGATGCCCAGATCTGCTGCCATGCGCCGCACAAACAGATGCTTGAAGAGCAGCTGGGAGAGGGGAGGGGGGGAGGGGGGGGAGCTGGCTTATAAGAGATGCCCAGATCTGCTGCCATGCGCCGCACAAAGAGATGCTTGAAGAGTAACTGCTGGGGGGGAAGAGGGGGGGTTGGGGGAGTGGGGGGGGTTGGGGAGTGGGGGGGGGGGGGGGGGAGGAAAGTCAACTGCCAGACGCTGCTGTTGTGTGCCGCACGTGCCTCTCAACTGGCCTCCACTTGCACCGGTTCGTCCCCATACTCGGCGCGCATCTCTCGACAGAGAACACCAGTAGAGCGGACACGCCCACTGCTGCACCCTCTGCCAGCACAACCAAGCACACGACACTCCACTCCTCCCTCCCCACACTCACCTCCACTGCAGCAGGTTCATCCCCATACTCGGAGCGCATCTCTTTACAGAACGCCAGCAGTGCCGGCATCCCCTCTGCTGCCGCCTCCTCTGCTTCCCCGGGAAGGCTGGCCCTCACAGCGGCATCCGAGACGTAGGATGCTGGGATGGGGGGCAGAGGGTCGAGAGGCAGGTCCAGCTGTGTGGGGGGAGGTGGGGAGAGGAGGGGATATGGGTAAGTGGGATGGTGCAAAGGGATCCCTTCCTCTGCTGCCGCCTCCTCTGCTTCCCTGGGAAGGCTGCCCCTCACAGCGGGATCGGAAACGTAGGATGCTGGGATGGGGGGAAGGGGGTCGAGAGGCAGGTCCAGCTGTGTGGGGGGAGGTGGGGAGAGGAGGGGATATGGGTAAGTGGGATGGTGCAAAGGGATCCCTTCCTCTGCTGCCGCCTCCTCTGCTTCCCTGGGAAGGCTGCCCCTCACAGCGGGATCGGAAACGTAGGATGCTGGGATGGGGGGAAGGGGGTCGAGAGGCAGGTCCAGCTGTGTGGGGGGAGTTTACACGGAAGGGGAAAACAAGTAACATGGGAGAGCGCGGGTTGGTGTGAAATAGACCTTCCTTCCCTCTGCTGCCACCTCCTCTGCTTCCCTGGGAAAGCTGGCCCTCACAGCGGCAACGGAAACATAGGTTGCGGGGATGGGGGGCAGAGGGTCGAGAGGCAGGTCCAGCTGGTGCGGGGAGGGACAGGGAAGGGAGCAGGAAGCAGGGAAAAAAGAATCACGGAGGGAAGGGGGCAGGCTTGAGACCAAGGATAGCCGCTGCCACCTGCTCTGGTTTACTGGATCGGTTATCTTCCTTGCTTGAACTTCGTGAAACAAGTAAGGATTTTGAGACGTCTCAAAAATCTACTTGTTTCACGTGGCTACTCTGGACCAGCTATCTTCCTTGCTTGAGCTTCTTTCAACTAGCAATGGTGGGTACCTTACTTCTGACGCTAGTTGCTAACGCTAGTTGATGGAGCGTCTTCCTTCCTTACTTTACCCGTACTAACGCTCCACCAACTTCTTAGTGATTTTTTAGAATTCTCAACGACGCTGGCAAAAAATAACAATAATAATAATAATAGGTGCCTTGATCGCTAGTACTTCTTACAACCAATGCTGACCTGTTTTGAGACGTCTCAAAACCACTTCTGAGACACCGGCAAAAAAATGAAACCAAAAAAAAAAAAAGTGCGTTACTCACGCACTAGTACTTCTTATAACCAGTGCTGAGCTCTCTTACTCACCCGCACTTCCTTGAACTGCACTCGTGGCAGGCTTGCGCCTCAAAAACTGAGACGACTTTTGAGGCGCCTCAAAAGTTTACTCACCCGCACTTCCTTGAATTGCACTCGCGGCAGGCTCTTCTGTTCCACCTGGACAGACCAACAGCAAGAGAGGGCAGGGAGCAGTAGCACAGAGCAGTGATGCATGGATGAGTCAAGTTGTTTACTACTTCAACGGTCCTGAGTGCTTCAGTATGGTTCAGTGACCACCACTCACCCTTGTGAGAGTCTCATGAAGCATCTCCATGAACAAGTGATACCCCTCGCCGCCAACATCCCCGCTCTGCCGCTCCTCGAACATGTCCCCAACATCCCAAATGCTGCCCCTTTATATAAGCTACCGAGTCCACCAAAAGCCCTCCACTCGATTTTTGAGTCGACTCAGAACGTGTGTGATAAGTCCATTTTGAATCGCCTAAAAAAAAAAACCCTCTACATGCTGCCCCTTTCTACATGCTACTGAGTCCACCATAAGCCCTCCACTCACCCGTGTCAGCGTCTCACAAAGCATCTCCATGAACAAGTAATACCCCATGCCGCCCACATCCCCTCCCGGTGACTGAGACCCATCCAAAACAGCCGGTTGGTACAACACATGAGTTGCACCTCACTCACCCGTGTGAGCGTCTCATGAAGCATCTCCATGAACAAGTAATACCCCACACCGCCCACATCCCCGCTCTGCCGCTCCCCAAACACATCCCCAATGCCCCGGATGTCCATGTCCCTCTGCGCCAGCAGGTACCCCTCCCCCAGCCCGCTGTGCTGCTGCAATGCTCTCAGCCGCTCCTGGAGGGGTGAGAAAGTGGGCATGGGGCATGGGGCATGGGAGAATAGTGATTCGGATCGCAACAGCAGCATGCCAGAACCCCTGCTCTGTCCCTCTGTGCCAGCAGGTATCCCTCCCCCAGCAGGTATCCCTCCCCCAGCAGGTATCCCTCCCCCAGCAGGTATCCCTCCCCCAGCAGGTATCCCTCCCCCAGCAGGAATCCCTCCCCCAGCAGGTATCCCTCCCCCAGCAGGTATCCCTCCCCCAGCAGGTATCCCTCCCCCAGCAGGTATCCCTCCCCCAGCAGGTATCCCTCCCCCAGCAGGAATGGACACGGACACGAGGACAAGGGCAATGGAGGAGTGGTGTATGTGGCATCATGGGGATGGGGGCGTGGGCATGGATGGAGCTATGGGCGCATGAGGCGGGGCGAGTGGGGCAGAAAGCACGGGCATGGCCGGGACAGGGCGTATGGCGTATGGGACCTGAGCTTCAGGCATTACGAACGAAGTGCAGGAGCGGGGGACAGGGGTGGGTGGGTGGGTTGAAGTAATTGAGTGCTGTAGCCCATCGTTTTCTCAATACTCACCTGAGCCCAAACTCACCTGAGCCCATACTCACCTGAGCCCATACTCACCTGAGCCCATACTCACCTGAGCCCATACTCACCTGAGCCCATACTCACCTGAGCCCATACTCACCTGAGCCCATACTCACCTGAGCCCATACTCACCTGAGCCCATACTCACCTGAGCCCATACTCACCTGAGCCCATACTCACCTGAGCTTCAGGTGTTAGGCAGTGCAGGGGTGGGTGAAAGAGATAGGCGTGGGCTGAGCTGCTCGATCGACCCACTCGCCCTCGCAGCTGACGGGAGGAGAGGAGTAGTGGTGGGGAAGGGGGAAATGGGAAAAGAACGAAAAAAAAGGGGAGAGAGGGAGGAAGGGGGGTTGAAGAAGGGGGGAAGGGGAGAGGGGAAAGGGAGAGTGCAGCAAGCGAGCAGCATGTGCATAATGCGTTGATCTAACATGCAGCAAGAGTGCAGCAAGTGAGCGATGCAGAGTAGCATGTGAAATGCGCTGTTAAATCAACGGATTATGCACACAATCAGTCAGATGAGAGGGAGGAAGGGGGGGTGAAGAAGGGGAAAGGGGAGAGGGAGAGTGCAGCAAGAGCCATGCAGAGTAGCATGTGAGATGAGCTGTTAGATCAACGCATTATGCACACAATCAGTCAGACAGATGAGAGGAGGTGAGAGAATTGTTCGAGGTTAGAAACAGGAAATATGGATTGGAACCGTATTACAAGCCTCTGCACGCCTCTGTGTCCCACCTGGTAGATCTGTGCGAGTCCAAGCAGGTGGGTATCTTCGATATCAATCGTGTTGACGGTGCGAATGTCAATTCCACTCTCGGTGATGCTCGTGCACACCAGCACATCCACTTCCCTTCACTTCCCCACCTCATTACACCGCACTGGAACCCTCTGCACGCCTAACTAGTGGCTACCCTCCTCACCTGGTAGATCTGGGCGAGTCCAAACAGGTGGGTGTCTTCAATAACAATAGTGTTGACGGTGCGAATATCAATCCCACTCTCGATGATGCTTGTGCACACCAGCACGTCTATTTCCCCCTCTCCAAACCGCTCCATCACTGCTTCAAGGTCCGTGGGGCGGAGCTGAACAGGTAGCGAGGGGGGAAAGGAGGAGCACATGACATGCGTGAATGAGGAGAGAATGAGGGGGTGTGTAAGGACAAGATTATTCTTTGAGACGTTTTGAAACAAAGTCTCTACTACGAGCTCGGTGGGGGAAAGATGATTGGGACCTGCACCACGTCAGCTTACCTGACCGTGTGCCACGTCAGCTTACTTTCATGCGCTACATCAGCTTACCTTGCCATGTGCCACGTCAACACGAGCGGAAGGGAAGAGCTCCTCCAGAAGCATCTGGATCTCCTCTATGCCTGGTGTGACGTGGCATCAAGGGATGTGACGTGGCACCATGGGATGTGACGTGGCATAATTGGATATAAAACAGTATGAGGTGGCATGTCATGTGTGCGAGTGTAAACAGGTAAGTCGGATTACGAGAGTGAATGGGGGTAGAGGAGAGAAAGGAGTCGGCAGGCTGATAGACTGCAAAAGCAAAACATCAGACACAGAATCTGTTTATTTTTGGACTAGACTTCTAAGAGGCAAAACATCAGACAGTTTTTTTTTGTTTAGAATCCGCAAAAAGCCCTAAACATCAGACAGAAAGTTGCACGAACATTTGGGATACACCATACTGCAATTAACCACCCGTGCCACACTGGAAACCACACCACTCCACTGCACCGCACCGCACTCACCTTCCACCCTCGGCACCACGTAGAACACCTGTCCACCCCTCTCCAACTCCTCCCCTATGGCTCTCACGTTCTCCGTGTCAAACTCGAACAGTTGTGTGCTGATGGGCTGGCGCTCAGGAGCTGGGCTGGTATCGCTGTGTACCTCTCTCCACCGCACTCAACCGCACCGCACTCACCTTCCACCCTTGGCACCACATAGAACACCTGTCCACCCCTCTCCAGCTCGTCCCCTATCGCTCTCTTGACGTTTTCCAAATCGAACTCCAGCAAGTGTGTGTCGATGGGCTGGCGCTCGGGAGGGGGGGTGGTGATGCGACTGTCAAGAAAGGGGGGGCGGGAGTTTTTGGGAGGGGGGGGGGGGGGGGGGGGGGGGGGGGGGAGCACGGAAGGGGGAATGGGAGGAGGGATGACTAGGGGAGCACAGAGTATTGGGCTGGGCTGGGCTGGGCTGGGCTGGGCTGGGCTGGGCTGGGCTGGGCTGGGCTGGGCTGGGCTGGGCTGGGCTGGGCTGGGCTGGGCTGGGCTGGGCTGGGCTGGGCTGGGCTGGGCTGGGCTGGGCTGGGCTGGGCTGGGCTGGGCGGTTGTACCGTTATCCACATTGCACCCCAGCAGGTGTGTGTCGATGGGCTGGCGCTCGGGAGGGGGCGTGATAACGCGACTCATGGGGGGGTGGGGGATGGAGGGGGAAAAGGGGAAAGATAAAGGTGCAACAGCATTGGGATCGGGGGGGGGGGGGGGGGGGGGGGGGGGATTAAGGGTAAGCTCGGTAAGCAGAGCATTGGCTACGAAACACACATGATACGTGCATGCTGCTGCACTCATGACTTTTGAGTCGACTCAAAAGTCACCTCGAAACACACATGATACGTGCATGCTGCTGCACTCATCTTGCATCCCTAAATCCGTGCATGGACATGTATAGCGTGTGCAGGATGGGATGGAGTAGCTAGCTGACAGCGTGAGAACGTCCACACTTGTGGTTGTGACACCACACACATGCACGCATGAATCCCCCCTCAATCTCTCACCTGGCGTCTCTGAAGCCGTGCATGGACATGTAGAGCGTGCGCGGGATGGGGGTGGCCGAGAGGGTCAACACGTCCACGCTCGTCTTGAGGCTGCTGATTCGCTCCTTCTGCCTCACGCCAAAGCGCTGATTTGCGGTGGGGGGTGGGGGGGTTGCCGGGTAGGAGAGGGGAGGGAGGAAGGGAAAAGGGGGGAAGGTTTAGAGTCAACACGTCCACGCTCGTCTTGAGGCTGCTGATTCGCTCCTTCTGCCTCACACCAAAGCGCTGATGAGAGGGAGAAATGGCGGGGAAGAAGAGAGTGAAGGGGGCAATTGGGAAAAGGAGGGGAGGAAAGGCGGAGTTCTGGTACGGTACGGCCACACGCGTCTTGAGGCTGCTGAGCTAATTCGCTCATTCTGCCTCACGCCAAAGCGCTGATGGAGAGAGAGACGAGGGAGGGAAGGAAGACATGTTCCATGTTGGCTGCCTTCTGCTCGTGACTCAGTTAACACCAGCAGCCCCTGGCAGCTTGACAGGTCAACGAGTGCTGTATAATATACACACACATTCAAACATACATATATGATGTGTATATCTGCACATGTATGTATGCCGCATATGGAATAATCACTACCTGTTGTTCCTCATCGATGACAAGCAGCCCCAGGTTGTGGTAGACCACCTGCGCCCCTGGCTGGCAGCAAACGAGGTACTGCATAAAATACATATATACGTTAAATACATGTATATATACTGATATATGTGCGTATATTACCTGTCCCTCATCTATCACGAGCAGCCCCACGTTGTGGTAGACCACCTGTGCACCCAGCAAAGAGTGTGTGCCTGCATCATACATATAATACATGTACATATACATAAATTAAACACATATATTTATATATATTACCTGTTCCTCATCGATCACGAGCAGCCCCAGGTTGTGGTAGACCACCTGCGCCCCCAGCAGGGAGTGCGTGCCTGCCACCACATCCAATGTGCCGTCCCTTATCCCTGCCAGCACCTCCTTCTTCTCACTCTCCTTCTGTCATATGGGGAAGGCGGATTGGGTTGGGGAGCGGGAGATAGGTGGGAGAAGGGGTGAATAACTACCTGCCTGACACGACATCGAGTGTGCTGTCCCGATACAATAGCACCTCCTCCTTACTCTCCTTCTGCACACCACTCACGGAGACAGGGGTTTGGGAAAGGGGAGACAGACGGGAGTACAGAGGAGTGAGTGCCAGCCACCACGTCTAGCGTGCCATGCCATGCCATCTATCTCATGGCATGGCATGAGTGAGTGCCGGCATCCCGTATCCCTCATGAAGGCCCTTGCTGGCCGAAACGCGTTCGCTCGCGCATGTGGGCCTATGTGTCTGGCCTGTGGGCTCGCTGGGATGTCTGAACATACGCCTATGTGTCTGGCCTGTGGGCTCGCTGGGATGTCTGAACATACGCCTATGTGTCTGGCCTGTGGGCTCGATGGGATGTCTGAACATACGCCTATGTGTCTGGCCTGTGGGCTCGCTGGGATGTCTGAACATACGCCTATGTGTCTGGCCTGTGGGCTCGCTGGGATGTCTGAACATACGCCTATGTGTCCGGCCTGTGGGCTCGCTGGGATGTCTGAACATACGCCTATGTGTCTGGCTTTCTGATTAGTAGACCTTTTTTTACTACTTCCCTCGCTTCTCATATTAGTAGACTAGTGCTATAGATCGTCACTCTTAACAGGCTCGCTGCGTTTCGAATCCAGCGAATTTCAACTGTGCCGGCCACCACGTCTAGCGTGCCATGCCATCCCGTGTCCCTGGTAGTACCTAATTCTTCTCACTCTCCTTCTGTTATGTGTGAAGGACGTAAGGGTGGGGAAGGGGAGGAAGTCGGGGAGTAGGGCGAAAAGAGAGGGTGGTGTACGGGGAGCAATAAAGGGCAATCCCAGCAGGGAGACTTTCGAGTCGACTCAAAAGGGCCAAAGGAGAGGGTGGTGTACGGGGAGCAATAAAGGGCAATCCCAGCAGGGAGACTTTTGAGTCGACTCAAAAGGGCCAAAGGAGAGGGTGGTGTACGGGGTGCAATAAAGGGCAATCCCAGCAGGGAGACTTTTGAGTCGACTCAAAAGGGCCAAAGGAGAGGGTGGTGTACGGGGTGCAATAAAGGGCAATCCCAGCAGGGAGACTTTTGAGTCGACTCAAAAGGGCCAAAGGAGAGGGTGGTGTACGGGGTGCAATAAAGGGCAATCCCAGCAGGGAGAGCAGCGAGAGCAGGGCCACGCGAATGCGGGTACCATCGCCCTCACCTGAAACCCACCTGAAACCCACCTGGAATCGTGAGAGAAGGGCCACGCGAACGCCATAGTCCTTGAGGCGTGCGGATATGACCTTGAAGTGCTGCTTGGCCAGCACTGTGGTTGGGGCTAGTACCATTGCCTGCATGGGAGGGGGGAGCAGAGCAGAGACAAGAGAAGATGGTTATAGAACGCTTCACAATATCACTCCAGGCAGTTCTTGAGGCGTGCGGATATGACCTTGTGTGTGTGTGTGTGTGTGTGTGTGTGTGTGTGTGTGTGTGTGTGTGTGTGTGTGTGTGTGTGTGCACCCAAGCTCGCACACAACATGCATGCACGCGCATACATCTCACCTGTCTCTTATCAAGCACTGCTCAGAAGATGGCTCGCGCCGCCACCTCGGTCTTGCTGAAACCCACATCGGCACACACACACACATGCAACAGCAAGCACCTGTCGCTTGTCCAGCACACAAACGCACCTGTCTCTTGTCCAGCACACAAACGCACCTGTCTCTTGTCCAGCACACAAACGCACCTGTCTCTTGTCCAGCACACAAACGCACCTGTCTCTTGTCCAGCACACAAACGCACCTGTCTCTTGTCCAGCACACAAACGCACCTGTCTCTTGTCCAGCACACAAACGCACCTGTCTCTTATCCAGCACACAAACGCACCTGTCTCTTGTCCAGCACACAAACGCACCTGTCTCTTGTCCAGCACACAAACGCACCTGTCTCTTGTCCAGCACACAAACGCACCTGTCTCTTGTCCAGCACACAAACGCACCTGTCTCTTGTCCAGCACACAAACGCACCTGTCTCTTGTCCAGCACACAAACGCACCTGTCTCTTGTCCAGCACACAAACGCACCTGCCTCTTGTCCAGCACACAAACGCACCTGTCTCTTGTCCAGCACACAAACGCACCTGTCTCTTGTCCAGCACACAAACGCACCTGTCTCTTGTCCAGCACACAAACGCACCTGTCTCTTGTCCAGCACACAAACGCACCTGTCTCTTGTCCAGCACACAAACGCACCTGTCTCTTGTCCAGCACACAAACGCACCTGTCTCTTGTCCAGCACACAAACGCACCTGTCTCTTGTCCAGCACACAAACGCACCTGTCTCTTGTCCAGCACACAAACGCACCTGTCTCTTGTCCAGCACACAAACGCACCTGTGTCCAGCACACAAACGCACCTGTCTCTTGTCCAGCACACAAACGCACCTGTCTCTTGTCCAGCACACAAACGCACCTGTCTCTTGTCCAGCACACAAACGCACCTGTCTCTTGTCAAGCACACAAACGCACCTGTCTCTTGTCCAGCACACAAACGCACCTGTCTCTTGTCCAGCACACAAACGCACCTGTCTCTTGTCCAGCACACAAACGCACCTGTCTCTTGTCCAGCACACAAACGCACCTGTGTCCAGCACACAAACGCACCTGTCTCTTGTCCAGCACTGCTCGGAAGATGGCCCTCACAGCCACTTCAGTCTTGCCGAAGCCCACATCGCCACACACAAGGCGGTCCATGGGGGTCTCCCTCTCACACATGTCCCTCTCCACGTCTAGGAATGCCTGTGGGGTTGTGGGGGAAAGGGGGGGAAGAGAAGAGATGGGGAAGGTGACTCAAAGGTCTCCCTAAAGTCGGCACAGCGTCGCCACACACGAGGTGGTCCATGGGGTTCTCCCTCTCACACATGTCCCTCTCACACATGTCCCTCTCCACGTCTAAGAATGCCTGTATTGTGGTGGGGAGGGAGGTGGGGGAGTGGGGGAAAGAAGTCAGCACAGCTTCGCCACAAATGTCCCTCTCCACGTCTAGAAACGCCTGGGGGTGGGGGTTGTGGGGTGAGAGGTAGGGGAGGAAAGGGGGCAGAGGGAGAGACGACAGGGGTGGTATACTCAGCCAAAACTTTTCTTCTTCTTCTTCTTCTTCTTCTTCTTCTTCTTCTTCTTCTTCTTCTCCTTCTTCTTCTTCTTCTTCTTCTTCTCCTTCTTCTTCTTCTTCTTCTTCTTCTCCTTCTTCTTCTTCTTCTTCTTCTTCTCCTTCTTCTTCTTCTTCTTCTTCTTCTCCTTCTTCTTCTTCTTCTTCTTCTTCTCCTTCTTCTTCTTCTTCTTCTTCTTCTCCTTCTTCTTCTTCTTCTTCTTCTTCTCCTTCTTCTTCTTCTTCTTCTTCTTCTCCTTCTTCTTCTTCTTCTTCTTCTTCTCCTCCTCCTCCTCCTCCGCCTCCTCTCCTCCCTCCTCCTCCTCCTCCTCCTCCTCCTCCTCCTCCTTCTTCTTCTTCTCTTCTTTTCTTCTTCCTTCTTCTCTTCTTCTTCTTTTCTCTTCTTCTTTCTTCTTCTTCTTCTTCTTCTTCTTCTTCTTCTTCTTCTTCTTCTTCTTCTTCTTCTTCTTCTTCTTCTTCTTCTTCTCGTAATTTTGACTGAGCCAGAACCCACACACCCACCCATTCACCCACCTGCTCCTGTTCTGGAGTGGGCTTGTACGCAAAAGGCTCCCCAACGCGCTGCATTTCCGCGTCAAACTTGGGGTACACGGGCCGCCGCTGGCGCAGCCTCTTCCTTGGTTTGTGACTGAGACCGGACCCAGCCACCCACCCACCCACCCACCCATCCAGCCACCCAGCCAGCCAGCCAGCCACCCACCCAGCCACCCAGCCAGCCAGCCAGCCACCCACCCAGCCACCCAGCCAGCCACCCACCCACCCATCCAGCCACCCAGCCAGCCACCCATCCACCCAGCCAGCCACCCAGCCAGCCACCCACTCACCCACCCAGCCACCCAGCCAGCCACCCAGCCAGCCACCCAGCCACCCAGCCAGCCAGCCACCCAGCCACCCAGCCACCCACCCAGCCACCCACCCAGCCACCCAGCCACCCAGCCAGCCACCCAACCACCCAGCCAGCCACCCAGCCAGCCAGCCACCCACCCACCCAGCCACCCAGCCAGCCACCCACCACCCACCCAGCCACCCAGCCAGCCACCCACCCACCCACCCAGCCACCCAGCCAGCCAGCCAGCCAGCCAGCCAGCCAGCCAGCCACCCACCCACCCAGCCACCCAGCCAGCCAGCCACCCACCCACCCAGCCACCCAGCCAGCCAGCCACCCACCCACCCACCCACCCACCCACCCACCCACCCACCCACCCACCCACCCACCCACCCACACACCCATCCACCCACCCACCCACCCACCCACCCACCCACCCACCCATCCACTTACCTGTTCCTGGTCCGGGGTTGGCTTGTACGCAAACGACTCGCCAAAGCGCTGCATTTCCGCCTCAAACTTGGGGTAAACAGGCCGCCGCTGCCGCAGCCTCTTGACATAGACGTCCATCATCTCCCCCACCATGCGCTCCACTGCCTCCTTGCCCTTGGCTTGCCGCCTCTCCCACAAGCTTGGGTCCTGCATCTTGCTCAGCGGAGGGGAGCGGCCTGGGGGACCCGCACTGGAGATGGGAGGGGGGCCAGGGGCCGGGGCCAGGGCCGGGGGCAGGGGAGGAGGCGGAGGGAAGAGAGGCGGTGGTACAGTGAGGTGAGGGCGCTGCCTGGCACAGCCTGTTGGCTTGGCTTGACATAGACGTCCATCATCTCGCCCACCATGCGCTCTCCACTGCCTCCTTGCCCTTGGCCTGCCGCCTCAGCCACAAGCTTGGATCGTTCACCATCTCGCACAACAGGAGAGGGAGAGGGAGAGGAGTAAGGGAGGCAGTGGTGAGACGTCCGTCATCTCGCCCACCATGCGCTCCACTGCCTCCTTGCCCTTGGCCTGCCGCCTCTCCCACGCACTCACGTCGTCCATCTTGCTCAGAGGGGGGGAGCGACCGGGGGGACCCGCGCTGGGTGTGTATGGGAAGAGGGGCAAGGTTGAGGAGCGGAAGGAGGGGGTTTGAAGGGGGTTCGCACCGCCTCTCCCACGCACTCACGTCGTGCATCTTGCTCAGGGGAGAGGACCGCCCAGGGTTGTCGGCGCTGGGCGTGGGAATGGGGACGGGGGATGTGGAATGTGGGGAAGGGGTGGGATACAAAGCGGAACAGGGCGATGGACGGATTGACACTGTTTTTTTCACACACTCTGGGGGGAAGGGGGGAGAAGGTCTGTTTTTTTTTTTTTTTTTTCTGAGACCCTTCCCCCCATCCCCACTAGTGACTCACATGCCAAACCGGTACACCACTTGTTTCGCACTGAGTTTCGCCGACCCATCCGCGAACTGCAGCAGCAGGTACTTCACCCTCTGCTGCCGTTCCTGAAACCCCCCAACCACCCCCCACCCCCTCCTCCCCCCTGGTTACTCACATGCCAAATCTGTAAAGCACTTGTTTCGCCTGTTTCGCACTGAGTTTCGCCGAGCCATCCGCGAATTGCAGCAGCAGGTACTTCACCTTCCGCTGCCGCCCCGCCGGCACCTCCACCCGCGTCCCAGTAAACCGGCATATCCCCAGCTTCTTATGCACCAACACATCACCAGGCACTAAAGTTTTAACGTCCACCCTAAATCCGTTGCTCTCACTGCTCTCCCCACTGCCGCTGGTTGTAGAGCTGCTGCCGCTTTTGCTGCTGCTGCTGCTACCACTGAGCGAACCATTCTCAGACGACGCCCTCTCATCCCCATCGCTGTCGCTCTCGTCAGCTACTCGAGACCCTGGGGCGGTTCTTACTGATCCGTTGACCGCCCCGTTATTAGACTCCTCGCCGCTTTTTCTCCCTGAAGCAGGACTGCTGTTGCTCAGTTTCGCCACGCGGCTTCTCAGCGCCGTCCAGTCCACATCAGCATCCCTTCTTTTGCTCCCGATACTGGGTCTCGCGTTTCCGTTACTGCTTCCTCGTTTCTGAGCATTCCCGTCTGTCCGTCGAACTGGCTCCGTTTTAAAGTCCCCCGTTACAAGCGTAGCTGAGCGACGAGCAGCCCCGTTAAGTGTCTCCTCGTTGGTGGAATAAGCTCCGTAATCCGCTTCCCCGTCCGTCTCCGGGCTGTCACCACCGAACCGAGCGCGAACTACAGTAGCCGAACCTCTTGTACCCGTTGTTGACTGACTCCCTAGCCGTCGTTCCCTCGACCCTGAAGAATCTAACCTAACCGGCGTTAATCTACGCAATCCCTGAAATGACGCGAGAAGCGAACGGCCATCGTCTGACGAGGTAAGATGCCGGAATCTAGAAGCCCTCAGGGGATCAGGTTCAGGGTTTAGCTGTTCTCCGTACCGAGGACGAGGGAACAGACCATCTTTGCCCCCGAATTTAGGGTTTAAACGGCTACTGTAACTAGATGCTGGATGAATCCTCGAGAAGGGAGACACGCGAGGTAATCTAGGAGTCACATACGCTAAGTGGCTCCTGACGGCTGAGTTCACTGGGTCTAGAGAAAGCTGACGTGGCAGCGATTGTGGAGCTCCATGTCGACAGAGGAAGGTTCGGTGCGGTGATCCCAAGGGGGAAGACCATTGGCATTGCACCAGCGACACGCTTTCCGTGACACGTAAGCAGCTCATGGTGAATGCGGGATCAGAATGAGAAGGTCAATTAAGGTTACAAGGAGCACTGAGAGAGTGCGGTAAGTCTACGAGCAGTGACTGCAACGACGAAGCGGCTTCTTTAAATCAGGACACGACCCAGAAGTTACTGACACACCGCTTCAAAACGAATTTCATTCATCGTCGCTTCCACCATCGCGAGTCGCAACACTGCTCTAACTGAAAGCGCGACATTTAGAAAAAGCAGGCGCGCACGTTTAACCTGATGCAAGCCTGCAAATATGCTTCAAGAACCCGTATCCTTCAGGGAAGGAGGTGGTAGAATCTTGCTTGGGGCCGGGAGGGTGACCTGTGCACGGTGTGTGAAGCCACCATGATGCCTGAAGTCACCCTGCCTACTGATCGCTTCTGTTCTTCAGGAATTTGATCACAGTTTCTGTTTGACGATCAAGTTGGTTTGGATTGGTTTGGGTGAAAGCTCGAGACATCAGATAATCTCGAGGTGGGGAGATGCTCTGCTGTACAGTACGATGATATCGAGAGAGCGGTGTTCCTGCCTGACCACCATCATCGCGGTGCCGACACGCGTCGCTGCCTGAGTGGTGTAACGTGTACCTAATATCCGTTAAGGTCAGCTTCTCTTCCCAGGTCGTCACATAAACAGACAGTGCTCAGTAACGCATACGCATATATAGCCGCAATAGTGCTCCTCTCAGTAAGCCACGTTCATAACATTCAGTAAGTTGTTTGTTTCTTTACACATGCAAGATTAGAGTGCTGCTTCCTCAATTAATTTATAAAACGGTACACGGATTATTACATTTCTACATGTATCATCCTTTAATTAGGATCACGAGTAAATATGGTGTATAGCAGGTATAATACTCTTCTGTACACTCTACACGTCTGAAGCTGTTTCTGGCCGTCGGATAAGAGATGAACATTTCCAAATCTTGCGATCTAAACAGAGCGAGTCGCCAACACCCCCTCACCACAATCGAACAAAATGCCTCAGCGGAACGCTGCTGGGACCTGCGCTTGACACCCTCTTGTCACTGAACTGATCCCCCTCCCCCCAGCCGAATTTCTCCATTCAATTGATTAGTCATAGCCTGCGGATAGCGATGGTTGGAGGAGCCGCATCGAATTTTGTTTGCCATCTGCCCGAAAACTGCACATATTTTGTGTTGACATGCAAGAAGTCGAGCTGTCCCTCATAAATCAATCTCACGAAGGCCCTCGGAGCTTCGCCAATACCATATTACCAGCTTTCGAAATTTCGTGCCTGGCGCAACCACTGATTTCATGTTTTCGCCTGCAGGAAAACGAAAGCTCCCGCGTCGCGTGCGAACCATTTCCTGGGTTCCCTCCGTGGCGTTGAAAGATTTCTCACGCGAGATTTCGCCAATCCGCTTCCTCCACTCTCCCTCCCATCCCTGAAAGACCTTCCTGTTCCTCCCTCAGTTTCTTCGAGCGCTTTTTTTCCTCCCTCTCACTCAACCCTCCAACCCTGCTGTTCTCTTCCTCCCTGATTCGCTCGCTTGATTTGTGTTGTTGCTAGATGTTGGTTTCAGCATTTCCTCGCCAGCTTTTTCCCCGCAGAACCCACTGAGCAGCCCTAATACGCTGATCCACGTCCCTTTCGGTCTGGCACTCCACGCTGTTCCGTGTTTACCTCTTATTAGGACGAGTTTTTTTTGCCGTTTCTTGACATTGACTAGCTTTTGTACGTCGTAGGATCTGATTTCGTGGTCAGATTGAATAGGTTTCCGTCGTCGTTCGCTGAACTCGTTCTGGCCTCCTGCCAGTTGTTTCTAGTGCGTCGATTGCGGAAGATTCAGGAGCTCGCGCTTCTTCATAATTAGATCCAGGTATGTAGCGATTTGTTCACGGCAAGGGCTCCTGGTCGTTTGTTATTCATGGGATGCCTTTATCGATGTTGTAACCATTTTCTCGGTAGTTTGTACACGAAAGCCTTCTTCTGCGTAAGCTTATTCACGTCAGGATTGAAGAATGTAATGATTTCTCTTCCATTCCCGTCACCCGTTATCTATTTACACACCTCAAGTTTCGATGTACGTGACGATTTCCTTCGTTGAGCTTACTCCTCGTTTCTCGCGAGCAGCTTATTTTCTCACCCAAACTGAGTTTCGATACTTTTATGCAACGTTGGTTCGTTATCCGCAATCGGGCCCTTATTTGCGAATTTTTAGATTCATTTAAGACCACAACTTATCTCGTTGACACTTACTCTACATTTCTCACCCAGTCTTCTCGTTGCTTTATTTCCCAAAGTTCTGGTCACGACTCACGAGTCTGCATGGACCATTGTTTTGGATAACTGGATTCTGTCATCGTCTCTTACTAAATAGGTTTGTCCTTCGACGAGCCTTGAATTCTGATTCATTCACGAAAGAGTTGTGATACGTCTTGACGCTAGATTTTTTGCGTTCTCCTTTCTTTAATTCCAACTCGATTCCTCACCTCCTCCTTTCATGCTTCCGCAGGACTTATATTTTTATTTTACTGCTATTGGGAGATGCGTTCTCGAAGTCGTAGTTACTCGCGAACGAGTTTCGAAACGAGCTAATAGTCACGCGTTATGAGATTTGTTTCCGTGTCTTCTTCCGTTGACATCGCAAGCCTCGGACGTCTAGCTATAGGAGATGAACGGCCTCGCGAAATAGCAGTTACTCGTGAATGAGCTTCCGAGATACCTAACGTCTCGATATCTTGTCTCCTTTTGTATCTGTCGCAGGTCTATCAATGGGAGAACGGCCTCGCGAAGTAGCGGTTACTCGCGAACGCCAGCGACGACGAAGCTGCGTCGTGTATGAGTAGAGACGATGGATCCAAAATCGAATCGCACGACGACGCCGACGACGGCGACAACTACGGCGACGGCGTCGAATACGACGGCGACGGCGACGAATACGACGGCAACGGCGACCACGAATACGGCGGCGACAAACACGATGTTGTCGGGTGTAGCTAAAGAGCAGGACGGAAGCACGAAGGAGATAGCGGCTAGAGTAAAAGCGAAAGAGAACGTGCAGCGCGGAAACGCGACGGAGGACGGAAACGCGACTGGGAGCGGGAACGCTAAGGCGAGCGGAAACGCTGAGGCGAGCGGAAACGCGGCGGAGGTAGTACAGGGGGAGCGGGCGACGAGGAACGCGCAGAGCGGGGGAGCGCGCGCGATGGGAAACGCGCAGAGTGCGGACGCGAAGGCGGAGATCGATAGCGATGAGGGAAAGAAAGTAGCTGGGGGCGCGACGGTCAAGGAAACGGGTCAGCGCGGCGTCGACGCGAAGGAGAACGTACGGAGCGCTGGTGTTAGCGTGAGCGCGGATCCAAAGAGAGACGTTAGCGGCCCGCGCGCGAAAGGCGACGCGAGCGCGAAAGTAGACGCGCGCGCGAAAGGAGACATGAGTGCGGAAGGGGAGGCGAACGCGAAAGCAGGCGCGAGTGCCACGGGGAACATGGAGGGTGGGAGCGGGAAGGAGGGGAAGCAAGGTGGAAACGCGAAGGCAAGCGAGCAGGGCGTGACTGCAAGGAACAAGGGTGCAGAGAAGGGTGCAGAGAAGGTCGTAGGTGCACGTGACGCAGCAGGGCCCGCCGCTTCCCCTCGTCCGCCTTCATCCTCTCCCGCACCTGCATCCGTACCTGCATCCGAACCTGCATCCGCACCTGCATCCGCACCTCCATCCGTACCCGCACCCGTATCTGCCTCCGCACCTGCATCCAAGGTGACAAATGCACCTGTGCCTGCACCTGCTCCCACTGGTCCCACAGGCCCTACCAGTCCTCCTTCCTTGAAACCTAAGCCTCCTGCTGCCACCAAGCCTTCACCACCTCCTGCTGCCACCAAGCCTTCACTACCTTCTGCTGCCAAACCCTCAACGCACCAGCCCCCACCACTTCCCCTGCCCCCTCCTCGTCCCCATCCTTCCTCTCTCTCCCACCCTCCGCCTCTCCCCCTGCCTCCCACCAAACCGTTACTGGCGTCAGTGAAGCCCCCGCCAGCTGCTGCACTCAAGCCATCGCCTCCCCTGGCCCCTCCCAGCGGCCCAGGGAAAACGGCTTCGCCAACAGCCGCGCCAGTAAAAGTGGCAGCAGCACCGCCAGCAGCAGCAACAGCAGGAGCAGCAAGACCAGTGGCAGCGCTTGTAGCAGCGGCAGCAGTGTCGCCGGCAGCATCTCCAAAACCATCTGCTGCTGCCCTTCCCAGTGGCTCAGGGAAAGCAGCTCCACCAGCAGCAGCACCCAGGCCGTCGCCTCCCCTTGCTCCTTCTCCCAGCGGCCCAGGGAAAACAGGTTCAGCAGCAGCAACGCCAGCAGCAGTGCCAGCAGCAACGGCAGCGCCAGCACCAGCACCAGCACCAGCAGCAGCACCCAAGCCCTCACCCCCCCCTCTCCCCAGCTCCACAGGTAAAGCAGCGCCAGCAGCTCCGCAAGCAGCAACACCTAAGCCCTCATCTCCCCTTGCCCCCAGCTCCACAAGTAAAGCAGCACCAGCAGGATCAACAGCAGCACCAGCAGCAGCAGTAGTGTCAGTGCCTGCAACAGCAGCACCCAAGCCCTCGTCTCCTCCTGCCCCCAGCTCCACAGGTAAAGCAGCGCCAGCAGGAGCAGCAGCAGCACCCAGTCCTGCCAACAGTGCAGTTCCGGCCAAAGTAACTACTATTAGTACTAGTACTAGTGCTAGTAGTGCCAGTGCAGTGACAGGTTCGAAAATCAGCCGAGTTCAGTCAATACAACCTCCTCCAATCCCTCTGCCTCCCTCTAAACCCACTCCACCTTCCTCTCAACCAACTGTGGCTCCACCTGTTGCTGCTCCTCCTGCTAGTCCTGCCCCTGCTGTTGCTTTTTCTGCCATTGCTCCCGCTGTCACCTCTGCTTCTTCCCGTCCTTCTGGTGCGAATGCCGCTGCACCCAACCCCCCTTCTACTGGTGCTGCAGCTGCTGTTT